GTCCATATTTTACATCACAGCATCTTATTTATCAGGGGGATTCTGAGAATCAATTGCTATACAATATATATTGGATGAAAGACTTAGTAAACCTCCTGAATTTAACAAGAACCGCTGTTTAAATACAATGAAGATGTTATGATCATGCGTTTCTATTTTTTTTTTTTTTAATGACAATACATTATGGGAAAGAATTGCTCCAACATCATTAAGACAGGAACACATGTGTATCACGTATGGCAAGAAGGGATCTCAAGAAACACAATCACCTGAGAGGTTAGGTTTCATTCACAATTACAATCTTATACTGATATTAAGCGATACATCAACATCTATACCACTGTGGCACAAGTGAAAAATAGTTTAACCGAAAGCCAGACCACCCGAATTGCAGGGGTAAATAAACGAACAATTAACGTGAGTGTTATAGACGATAGTTCAAGTGAAACAATCAGCGGTTTCTACACATGCACGAGAGGTTGTAAGAAAAGTGCGTTCTACATGCGCGGCTGTAATTAGTATAGGAACGAGAAACCTAATAGGTTATGTGAATGAATGAATGCCCAAGTGTTAAGGGAATTGTGCAAATTAAAGTTTAACCGAAACAGAACCAGTATGCATAAAATTGTAGCGGTAAGTGCACAAATGATTACTATGAGCAATGTACGTATGAAAATCTTTAACGAACGCTGGGTTAAAACAAGTATGGGCTGCGTATGAACGCTGACTTACTGTTTAGCCGTTAGTATTCTGGCTTCCTATGGTTATACTTACGAACTGAGACAGGAAAAGAAAGTTTACAAAACGGACTGGTGGCGGGCGCGAAAATTACGTCAGGTCCTGTGAACCAGAAGTAAACCGATTCACTTCCAAGATAGTCGACGACAGGTAAGCAGGGGCTCACTGGGTTTAAATAGGGTTCATAGTGCCTCCCACAATTACAGGCCAAGCCTTCTATATATATATATATATATAATTTCATTTTGTGTATTTTTATATGAATATATTTATTAATATCAGTTATGATGAAATTACATATATATATATATAGTATCTCACAAAAGTGAGGACACCCCTTACATTTCTGTAAATATTTTATTTTATCTTTTCATGTGACAACACTGAAGAAATTACACTCTGCTACAATGTAAAATAGTAAGTGTACAGCCTGTATAACAGTGTAAATGTGCTGTCCCCTCAAAATAACTCGACACACAGCCATTAATGTATAAACCATTGGCAACAAAAGTGAGTACGACCCTAATTGGAAATGTCCAAATTGGGCCCAAATTGTCAATATTTTTTGTGGCCACAATTATTTTCCAGCACTGCCTTAACTCTCATGGGCATAGAGTTCAACAGAGCTTCACAGGCTGCCACTGGAGCCCTCTTCCACTCCTCCATGACAACATCACAGAGCTGGTGGATGTTAGAGACCTTGCGCTCCCCCACCTTCTGTTTGAGGATGCCCCACAGATGTTTAGGTCTGGAGACATGCTTGCCCAGTCCATCACCTTTACCTTCAGCTTCTTTAGCTGAAGGTAAAGGTGATGGACTGGGCAAGCTTGTCTGCGAAGGGAGGAGATCATGCTCTGCTTCAGGTCTGGAGACATGCTTGCCCAGTCCATCACCTTTACCTTCAGCTTCTTTAGCTGAAGGTAAAGGTGATGGACTGGGCAAGCATGTCTCCGAAGGAAGGAGATCATGCTCTGCTTCAGTATGTTACAGTACATGTTGGCATTCATGGTTCCCTCAATAAACTGCAACTCCCCAGTGCCGGCAGCACTCATGGAGGCCCAGACCATGCTTGACTATAGGCAAGACACACTTGTGTTTGTACTCCTCACCTGGTTGCCGTCACACACGCTTGACACCATCTGAACCAAATAAGTTTATCTTGGTCTCATCAGACCACAGGACATGGTTCCAGTGATCCATGTCCTTAGTCTGCTTGTATACAACAAACTGTTTGCAGGCTTTCTTTTGCATCATTTTTAGAAGTTGCTTCCTTCTGGGATGACAGCCATGCATACCAATTTGATGCAGTCTGA